AACAACAACAACAACACAAACGGACGGAAGGATGGACAATAAAGATGCTGAACAACAACGACTTATTATTAGTTTCAAGTAAAGAAAAGAAAAAAAATTAACTTTAACAAAAAAAATAGCACGTATCGAAAACATTATTCTTACCTATATTAAATTCTTAACGGACAGAATTAGTTTATATAGTCGCTCTGTCGTATATTAAATATTATTCATATATAGTTATAATTTTCCTCTTATAGTATTCAAAACGTTTTGTTATCCMAGTTTTTTTATCTGCGGACCTCTCTAGTTTTGTTTGGAAGTCATGTTTTCTCATTTCAGAAAACGAGCTATTTCAGTTCAGTTAACACTGAATTTATAGGATTCAAACAAAGAATATCTTCTGGGAATGACAATGGATGAAAAAGGAAATTATGACGCCCAATATATATAATATAATATATAATAGTCTATTATGTTTAAAGAAGTTCTGCTCTCTGTAAAGGCGCGATTACACAAGGCTCAACATTTTATTCAAATTGTGCTGTAGGTTACACGCTGCAATTTCTCAATGCAACTTGTGTCGCAACRCCGTTGCGAGAAAAGTCCAAAAGAAAGAATGCGTCGTGTAATCGCGCCTGGGTGACTCAATTCATGGCCATATCGTTTATTCCTAAAGCGGATTTCGTTTGAACGGGAAACGATACGACAATTTTGCAACAAAAATACAACTTTGCCATCATACTCATATTGTGTTGAGGCATTTCAATGTTACGGCATATGGTATCATGTATGTAATGCAAATCAGTGYCGTACGTTTCCCAATCATACGATAGCCATTCTTATGGGATGCCATTTTAGTGCTACAGCATGTCGTACTGATGTGTACGTACTTTGAGTCAGTCAGTATACGTTTCCCTCTCTAAAGACCGGTTTAGACGGTACGATTTTCGCCTACAACTGTCGTATACAACACGCTTGCGCCATCCTACAACTCGAGTCGTAGCGCGTAAATCAAGCCTACAACTCGCCCACGACATACGCGAGCGTGTTGTATACGATAGTTGTAGGCGAAAATCGTACCGTCTAAACCTGTCTTAACGGCTATAGGATTAAGCAACAACTTTTATGCGCAAATATCAAAACAAAATATTGCTTATTGTTGAATCATTGTCGTATTGCAAGTAATAAAACATAGAAGATACGACCGGAGAGGTTTCTGGTTTCATATGTTAACTTATTGATTCATTTGGGTTCAATAGTCACCAAATGAGATATAACTAGCTAAAAACTAGTGTGAGTAGTCACCAAATGAATCAAATAAGTTAACATATGAGTTTTATAGTCATCAGCATGGTACTGTTACACASTCTTATGTTTTATCATTTACTGTAATTCGACATATCAACTAAGGTATGAGTCTCAAGGACCATACTTATGTTTTTGTTATGTCGAAAATGTATGAACACTTGTATACTCAGAAAAGAGAAAAAATAAAATATTTATTGGAAAAAAGATGTTTCTGTTGATGAATCGGGTGCATGGGAACAAGGGGAAGGCATTTCAGTGTACCCCAGAATGTTACCCGCTTCTATGGAAACCATTCTGATTCAAAGCCATTTCTGTGTTACATCACATGTACCGTATCTTGTGCTGCCCGCTTCACAAGGAAAAAAAAAAAAAAAAAAAAAAAAAA